TTGAATTTAGTTTATTTTTACTACTATATTTACCTTCATTTCAATTTAAAGGCTCAAAAATAAAGTCTTCATCTAAACTATGAATACTAAAATTAATTTTCAAATAAAAATAATTTATCAATTACAGCTTCCATTTTTTAAAAAGACAACAACTTCTGTTTCTAAAACTTCTCCTGATAGCTAATCCCTCAAGACAGAATCCTCCTAGACCCATCCATCCCCACTCACCACCGAGTATATTCAGGTAATACAGGATAATTCTTAAGATTCTGTCAAATTCTTGAATGAAGACTCAACTCTTTGAGTGGTTGAATTAAAGGTCTAGTATTGGGAGAAAAAGCTAAAACATAAACTGAAATTCTACTAACAAAAACATGTCACCAGAAAAGAAACCTATTAATGCTCATGTTCTGATATTTTATTTGTACTCTTGAACCAAGAGCTGGCCTCACAGGAATCCAAGTTCCAGGATTCATTCAGATCATTTTAGGCAAATGAGGAAATTGTATAGGAAGGCAAGGTGAATTAGGATAAAAGATACAGGAGTAAAACAAGTTAGGTGGCAGTATGTTAGCGATCTTTATCCAAGGGCTTTGAACAGAAATCATGAACTCAACAACTAAGTTACTATCTATATCATATGGACATTCTATACCAAAAAAAAAAAAAAAAAGTTTGTTCTTAAAAAGTTAAATTTAACGGACCTTGCTTTCTATTATCAAAGCGTAAGAACTAAGATTCATTAAAGGGGGGGAATAAGAAATCTTTTATTAACTTCTGCTCAGTAGTAAATACCTACTGGTATTCAGGAACTGTTCTGAGTGCTCCCACCCAAATAAATGCATTAGTGCTAAAAGTTAGTGCTATAGAAACCATTATTGCTGGGGTTTCAAAGAAGGAATTCTTGAATTCCTAAGCTATTTCAAAGCCCAGGTTTTGTAATAAAATGACTGCAGCTAATGTCATCAATTCAAGTAAGCCTAAGAAGCCATCTGGAAGGCTATAGAGTATGTGTACAAATACACACAGATGCACACATGTGTAATTGCCTGTGTCTGAATATGTGCATGTGCATATGTACGTGTTACATACTGATGCACAAATGTAACACCTGGGAACTGATGACAAAGGAGAGTCAGGAAGACACTTATTTGAAAGAAATCACATTTTCAATTTTCTTTCTTTTAAAGTGAGTATGTGAGTAAGGCATTTATTTGGTTATTCATTAACAGCAGATATTGGGGGGGTTGTCTTTTTTTAGTAGCAAAGTAACAAGTAGAATGTATCCACTGCTACCATGAGACAATCCTGTTTGGTGGTCTCACTGCCATCTCAAGCAGTTTTTTGAGAGAAATCACAGGGTAGAAAGACCAAGTCATTTCCTCCTTGCCCACACAGAAGACTCTGTATGGATAAAGCAGCCAGAAAGACTGCTATGTCTCACCTCCGAGAAGAAATAATTGGAGACATCATTTCAGGGTTTCTGTGTAGGGGGAGGGAATGAAGCAATTAATTGAAATGCTAGGGGCAAAATGAGTGGGTGCTCTCGTCCCAATGCCAACTCCAAGGCCGGGAGCCAACCCTTGCTGTCATATCTGCCCTAACGAAGGTGGGGAGGGTAGGCTCTGCAAACTTGCCTGCATGCATTTCAGGTTTATGCACAGATATGTCCCTACTGTGAGAAAGAAGAAAGGTCAAGGTGATTACTGTGAGAAAATAATGAACATTAATTTTGCTTATATCTGAGAAACTCTAATATAAGATCTTAAGAAACAGAATTTGTAACAATACAGCAGGAAAAGCAGAGTCTGCTATACCAGAGATATCTCATTCAGGATGGTGAAAAAAATATCTTTCAAAAAGTCTCTGAAGCAATCATTGGCCAGGAGGAATGTATATTGTTCAGGAAGGAAGAAATATAGAGAAGGTTTTTTTTTTTTTCTCAACTATATTACTAATGTAATATGCACATGGAGGTTGGAGAGATAAAACAAATTATAATGACATAGTAAACTTTAAAACAAACTCCAGTGACACAGTAAACTTTTATTCTCACAAGACTTCCACAGTAAATACATGAGGCTAATACAAGGCGGCTTTGGAATAGAAAATAAAAGCCCTTTGTTTAATTATTAATCCCTCTTCACTGTTCAACTGCTATGCAATTTGTTATTTTTACACAGAATATTTATTAAAGATTTCATATATTTTATCTTTAATTTTCACTATAAGACTATGAAGTATCATTTGGAGCGAGTGCTCTGGGGATAGAACCCAGTGCTTTGCAAATGTTTAAACATATATTCTAGCACTGAACCACACTTCCAGGTTGGCTTTACATATCAGAAAACTGAGGATCATGTTGAATAACATGACAGTTAAGTGAGAGGGCCACATTCTTCCTCAAAACAGTCTACATCATACTAATGGATTAGGGATATAAGCTCTTATTATTAACTAGTAAAACAGTACCTCCAGCAAAGCATCATAGTACATGTCTGTAATCCCAGCACTCGGAAAACTGAAGTAGCAAGATTTTGAGTTCAGCTTGAGCTACACGGCAAGACTCTGATTAAAAACAAACAGTAACAACTTGTGGGGTCTCCTTGGCCTCCTTGATCAAGAGGACAGGTGACTCACCACAGTTACAGGACATTTTGAGAGATGCTCATAGTCCCCTGGAACTAGTCAACCTAGGCGGGCAAGGAGCAAAATCTGTCCTTTCTGTCCCTCTGACCAAAAAACTCATTCAATTTTATGTCTTACAGGGTTTATCCTGAGTTCAATATTGTATAACTGTATTAATTCAACTGTGAACCTAAAAATTTTATAGCCACTTCTGAAAGAGAGGTATCTTTGCTCTGGAAATTGTTATTGAGTATGTTAAAGCTGTAATGAAATGCTTCACCAAAAAAATGAAAAATTTAAAGAAAACAAAACAAACACTAACAAAAACCAAACAAATAAACACACAGTAATTCCTGAGGGGTGGGGAGGAGGCATGATGTTTGGAAGTGTCATGAGTTGAATTGTATTTCCTCAAAATTAAGTCATAGTATCTCAGAATGTGACTGAATTTGGCTATATGGCCTTAAAATGTGGTGATTAAGTTAAAAATGAGACCCTTAGGTTGGCCCTCAGAGTCCAGTCTGACTGGTGTTCTTTTAAGAGGAGGAAATTAAAGAAGTACAAGAAGGTACCATGGGCATGTACACACAGAGGCAAAGATCATGTTAGGTTAGGCAGATGAAAACCAGAAGGAAAGGCTTCAGAATAAAACTAACTCTGATAACAACTTGATCTTGGAATTCTACTTTCTACAAGTACTAGAAAATCACTTTCTATTGCTGAAGACACCCAGTTGCCTCAGAATATTCTATGCCTACACGACCCCCAATGACCTCATGATTCCTGATGGGTTCAGAACTTCTTGTGATGGAAGCCCTAGCAAACTACCACAGGAAGAAAACAGAAATTGTCTAACACAGTAACATGCCCAGACTACTGATAGAGCAGCAGTTTACCTACTGTTTATGATTGGCCTGAGTATGGTTTCAGATGTTGGCCTTTTGGATGAAGCATAATCCCCAAAGGATTATAAGACTGTGGTTGTGTCCCAAGCATACTCACAGAAACATGGCTGAGAGGTTCCTGCAACTCTAACATACATGCCTTAACAAGTGAGGCACATGATAAATTAAAAGCATTTCAAGACATGGCCTGGCATTGTTACCCCAGATCTTGCTAGAATAACATGACATTTATAAAAACTACAACCCACTGGATATTTGGCACCATTTGGGAATGAAGAATATGTCCATGTAAGAGCCAATACCCGAGGCTGTCAAAAATATCCCAAGCCAGGGTTTCTTTTATAAACAATACCTATCTTTAAAAATTATACAGTCTATGAAGTGAAGAAAATGTCTGCTTATTTCTATGTCTCTTTTCACCTAAACACAATAAACATAAACCACACACAATATATTACCTTCTCAGTAAAGACATGTTGATGGAACAGCTCTGTGCACCTGGCAAAGAATCTCTACACTTACAACCTTTGCTTGGACCACCCTCACTCCAATGACACCTACACAGATCAGATCACACTCTCTTAACAGTGTGGGCTTCCTCAATCCCGGCACACTCTGAAAGGGGGTATTTACAGATTACTTTTTCAGATACCAGCCAAATAGTGTCCCTGTTCACTTGCTTACCCTTCTTAGCCCATGCAGAGTTTAACATCTGGAAGGATAAACTCAGCCCTAGCATATGACAAGGGTTTGTAGTAATCGAGGAGCTCTCAAGCAAGGAGATTTGCCAGCTTCCCTCTAAGATTCAGGCCCTGAAAGGCCAACTGTGGTATGTTTGAGTTTCCATTAGACCTGGTGCTTGCTGGCTGCTGTTACGCTCAGTACAAACCTCACTGCCCAACTATCCTATAAACATCTCACCCTTCTGCTGAGAGCTGCCTGCCTAGCCGTCGTTCTTGGAGAAGAGAATGTGCTGTTTGAGAGCTGTAGGCTGAATGTTAACTAACTTGAAACACAGCTGACCGCTCTCTTCTATAGGCCAATGACTGCTCTAAAAAAACACACATTCAAGGAACATAACAAGAACAGGAAGAGGAGCCCAGATTTTCCTCACCATGTGCCACCCAGCCATGTTTACACTGATCGCAAGTCCTCAGGTTAATCTTCCCTGGCTGAAAACACTCACACGTGCAGTTTACCAGTGTGCAACGGATGGCCTGAAAAATAAAGAAAAACCATCAGCATTTGTTCAAAAGTACTTTTTCTTCAGTGTTTTAAATAATTTCCATTTCTATTTTTAAAGGTTTTATGTTAGTAAAGGCCTGAAGAATTTTAAAAATAATTCTGTACTATTAAAATTATTTATGAAAATGATTAAGAAACTAAAGCACGTCCACTAACAGTATTTTAAGGCATTCATTCATAGCAACTCTAAACTAGAAATGTAGAATAAGATGAGTATGAATAAAGGATTATGTATTCCACAGAGACACTGGATTTGCAACTGAGCCAAAAGAGAAAAACAAGACTGTTGCTGATATATATGTTTATCTGAGTTGAACTATTCTGCAATATTGCCAAACAGAACGTCCACCTTCTAAGAAGATAACGTTCAAGGGACTCTTTGTAAGAGTAAAACACGGCAGACAAATATTTATTAGAAAAATCCCTCTGCTAGATTTCATTTAAATGCTTTCAGATGTATTTTGAAAGACACTTCTGGCCCAGTTAAGACCAAGCATATTTCTTTAACTATCCCTTCTCAGTTATGTGAATTTTTGTTGTTGCCTTTCTTTGACTTATTAATTCTAGCCTCACTGTTATTTAATTTTATTTCTTTTCTTTCTTCTTTTTTGAGATAGGGTCCCTATAGCTACAGCTGGCCTGGAACTCTCTATGGAGACAAGGCTGGGCTTGATCTCACAGAGATCTGCCTGCCTCTGTCTCCCAAGTGCCAGGATTAAAGGCGTGTGCCATCACACCCAGCTTATTTAAAAATTGTAAATAATCCTTTTATTTTAATACTGATAAGAAAATAAGCTTAAACTTTAAGATCAGATATAATATAGGAAAATCTATTACATGAAAGGTTCACACTTGGAAAAGTACAACTCTATCTTAGAAACCTGAAACAAAGATTCTTTCATTTCTATACAAGGTATGTTCAAAAATCATCTCACTAGTTTATATTATACAGTGAATTCACATAAAATTACCATAAATGGAGTGTAACTTTTTATGATTGAAAAAATTTAGGTTTAAGAATTGTGCTAAAGCTGACCTGTGCTCCTAGACTACAGTTAATAAATTTTCTCATATAGTTAAGTTCTAATATGCATGGAAATTCTAAATGCAGAAGAGACTTTGCCTGATCAATCACCTATTAACAATCTCCTGTGACTCCTGAATTGCCAGGAAAAGACTCTCCGCTGATTTAGATGTGAACAGTGATGACTGACTTGCGGTGCAGGGCTCCTCTGGGAAGGTCAGGTACTTGAAGATTGGTACCTGAAGGTTATACTCACACACTCCAAAGGCTCACTTCCTAGAACCATTTGGGTTTTTATATAAACTATCTCATTTGTAGTAGACAGTATTTTAGATACTGTTAACATAGTTGGGACAAATTTTATTTACCAAGGGTTAAGACTAAATTGACTCCTGTTCCTATGATAGGGGTCAGGCAAGTTTAAAGAATTTTTCTTTCCCTAACATTATCTCTGTGCATGCCTACTCAATTTCAGGTGTTGGAATTCTCAACATCTACAGATTAGTTTTACCCATACACGCAAACACACACACACACACACACACACACACACACACACACAGACATACACACACACCTGTATATCTTACCACTGGCTAACTCATTCATTCATTTATTCTGAACTACTTACATGACTTTATACATCTGCTTCATTTTTGAAAACTTTCAGACTCTCTTTTCTTTATGTACCCAAACATAAACATTTGAACACCTTTACCCCTTTTCTATATAAACACTTAAGCACTAGCATAGCCATTTTGAATGTCTATGGATTCCAGAAGGCATATTTGTTTTAAACTCAGACTTATATAGATAGACTACAATTGTTCCTTAAGGGAATTATATATACCTAAACAATATGGTCTAAACAAATATTTTTAGCAAGAGACTATTGTGGCTTCAAAGGAAGTTTTGCTTTAAAGAGTGTTTTTGAAACAGCGTAATACTTTGAAATACTATTTATTCACAACAGAACAGAATCAACATGGTCATTTGACAACTTGGGCACACTTAAACATAGACTGTCATAAACTATCAAATCCAGTTAAGCCCTTAAAGTGTCCATGTGTTCCAACAGAAGTGGAGGGGTTTTCATTCCTACAAGCATGCTCATGGCCTGCCTGCCTTTAGCTAATGCTGGAGTACTTCTTACTTTGCTGGGTACTCTGAATAAGATCCAGCTGTATGTATTACACTGTCTGAATGAAAAGCTCTGAAGTCCAGTGATGAGGAAATATGTGGAAAGTTCATTTAGACTGTTCCCACCTCTCTTTGCAGGAAACATTCTTTAAGTTGACCATGGTAGAGCTGCAGGAACCCCACCCAACCTTACCTAGCCTACCCTACAAAACATCCCCCACCCTCCACTCAACAACAAGAATTTTCAACCTGCAACACATTAAAAATAATTACTCTTTCTGCCTGCCTTTACTGTGGACAAGAGAAATCCAAGCAAGCCACAACCGACTTTCCACTTTCTCACATAAGCTACACTGTAACTGAAATCTGAACTCTGTCCCATAGGTTCGTGGAGTTGCACTCTGAAATGCTGTGAGAGCATTCTCAGCACATTTGGTCCCTTTCCTACTCTCCTCATCCTCCTAGATTTTGATGCAGCTTGCAGCACTAACTCCCCTTGGTCCTGAGCAGTGGAGACTGATCATCCAACTCTGTCTGGCAGCAACACCCCTCTTGCCACTGTAAATAAACACAGGTGTTTCTCATGGCCAGGCTTGTCATTCTTAATTTGGCAAATTTATCCTCTCCTATGGCTTCAAATATAATCGCTACACAAATGGGTACCAGTGTCCCTGTGTGCAAGGCTTGGCAGCTTGGTATGTGTAGGCTTAGAGGGCAGGCCCCAGGTCAAGAAGTCCTTAGACAGGTTTGAGAAGAACCATCTCTTCCTTCTCAATTCCTCTGTCCAAACCCAATCACTTTTAGCTGTCCACTGTTATTAACAATAGCTAGATCAATTGAATATTTGCCATTTTCTAAGCACTATGCTAAGTAATTTACAATTATAACAGTTCTCAGGAAATATTATGAGCTTGAGACTGTTGTTCCTTTTATTTCACAAATGTGTGCACTAAGATGATGAATAAGGACCTGGCCTGAAGCCGCTCAAGTAGTAGTTACAAATCCAGGTATGTCTGAGTACTCTGCACCAAGGACTAGGAATCCTGAGGGTTATTTCTGCTCAGAGGCAGTCAGTCACAGGACAGTTTTCATTAACATTCTGTGCTCCTCTCAGAATCATCCAGCCTTGCCTTTTCTGTCTCCATTCTCACTGTTACTACCCCAATTCCAGTTTCCTCTCACCTTGTCTATTCAAAATGGCTTTTAATTAATTTACCCATTCCTCCTTTCTCCCTGTCCAAATGAACCTTCCCTTCAAAGTGCTGCACCTTTAATCTTCCGGTATGGCATCTGCTTTTCTCAAGTTATCTTTGTGCTCTTGTCAATTTCTTGTTTTTGACAGCAGTGTTGCATTTTCTAAAATTTCAGTGTGTGTGTGTGTGTGTGTGTGTGTGTGTGTGTGTGTGTACATGTGTCATGGCACACATGGAAGACAGAGGACAACTTGTGACAATTGCTTCCCTCCTTCCATCATGTGAGTCCCAGAGATCTAACTCAGGTCATCAGGCAACAAGTACCTTAACCCACTGAGTCACCTCATCAGCCCCTCTTGGCCTTTTCATTGCCTATTTTTCCAAGTGTTCTCCACTTTCCCCCAATGTCTGTTCATCCTTCAAGTGACTTATTCTCCCCACTGGGAATGGCTATGTCTCCCATTTGAGGCAGTTCCTGTTCTATAACAAAATGGATAGCACTAATAACAAATTATGAATATTACAATGATCTGTGTTATTATTTGAGTCTTACAAGCCTCTAGAGAGCTCTAGGAGGATAAAGCAGGTGTCTGTGGTGCTTACAATCCATACTGGCAAATAAAAGGTGCTCAAAGGTACTGAAAGACATAGCCCAGTATGGTGGCACAAGTCTCTAATCCCAGCACTTGTAAAGTAGAGGTAGGAAGATCAGGAGTTCAAGACCATCCTCAGCTACATAGTGAGTTTGAAGCCACCATGAGCTACATGAGATCTGGAGGAAGACGACGGGGGGGTAGGGGAGGGAGAGGAAAGGGGGAGGCACAGATGGAGGAAAATTCTCCAAGCTCTTTTTCATCTGTTGAATAATGATTGCAGTGAATTGACATGGCAATTTTGTCAAAAGACTTAAGTTAAGTAATGGCTATAAAGCATGGCCTGGCAACAGTAAAAGCTTAATAAATGGCAACCATTTATGACCTCAAGAAACTTTCTGTATATATTTGAATGGTTCTATTTTAACACTTATTGTTCTCCCTAGTGTATTAAATTTAATCCCAACTTCTTGTAAGATGTGTAAACATGTATTTAGTCTTAATGAGTAAGTGAATGCTTTGATATATATAAAACAGTCTAAGCTGAGCACAAGTATTATTATTTCTGTTTTAATGCTCCAAAATGACATAGTGAAGGAGACAGTCTACCAATTACTACTCAGTTTATTCCTCTACCTATAAGAAAATAAAGTATGCAATAAAATTAATTTAAATTAGAAATGTTCATATGCAAATGTACACACACAGTCCTAGCTACTTAGGACACTGAGGCAAGAGGATTGCTTGAGCTCAGGCATTCAGCAATAATTTGCACTATATTGCAAGACCCCATTTCAAAAAAAGACACATCTACAGTATACAAAATAGGAAAACATGGTTTCAAAAATTAACCCAGGTTTTACTGTTAAGTGAGAATGTATTCTGAAGTACTTTGGATACATTTCAAAGATATACTCAAGTATTAGATCTGGTCATCACTAAAACAACTTTCTTTGTTTCATTACACTGACTAACTGTATGAGTGAGCAGGAACCGAACAGAAGTCTTCTCACAAAATGGCT